GGAGCCTCTGATGCAGGATTCCAAGCAACGCGACTCCCATTACCCCACCAAGCGGTACCTTTTGCAGACTGAACAATGCTTGGATCGAGCAGGCCGCTGGAAGTGACATGTCCAGCATTCCTTCTCCCTGAACAAGATGCCATCGTGAGGGTAGCGCTTTAGGTGGAAGGCCACGTTCCTTTTGGTGATGGTGCCAGGGTCAGATGTGCTCGCCAAAACGAACAGCACGAGGCACAACACCATGCAGGCTGTTCCCGTGAATCTGCACAGAAGCATCCACACCAAAATCCCTTTGCTTCTATCTTCCCTTATCCAGAGGGGATTTGGTAGTTGCACAGGGGAAGTTCACTGCACAGTTTCCAATTCTGCACCAGGTGCAGTTTCTTGGAGCACATCAAGGTGCGAGTTCGCATCTAAGGTCCTGGACGGGCAGCACAATTTCATGAACAGCTACTTCTGATGTGCTGCTGATTATTGTTTGCCAACCCTGCTGGACGTACATGTGATACCTCCCTGCCAATGGGCTTGGCAGCAAGACGAAGAGGTGCGTGAGGTAGAGGTAGTAGGAGCCTCCCATGATGAGCAGGTACATGATCTGCAGGGCTGGGTTTGAAGACTCGCAGCAGCAGTCCGCAACATCCTCGAATGCCCGCTCCCCACGCCTGCCAAAGCACTTTGCAACAAGCCATCTGGCACAAGCACAAGTCAGGGGTGAGCAAATCCTCTGTGATTTCCACAAAATATTGACCGTGCCACATATGCCAATTCACCACAGGCGCCTTCAGGCGATGATTTGTAGGGATCTTTGGCCTGACAGAGGAATCAGGACCCTATCACTGCCAGTGGAATGCTAAACTCCAAGCAGACATCACCAATGGCCACGTGACACTGCAGGCTGGGACGTGAGCCACTCTGCGAAGATCAGGGGCCACATTTCCTGGTTTGTTGCATCCTTGCAGCGCAAGGTCACAACGAAAGGGGGGCCAAACAGCATTTTGGTGTTTCAGGTCTACCTTGCCAGCCAGCCGACTGATTGAACCAAGCGCTGCCCTCATGGCTGCCACACAGATGGTCTAAGCACCACAGAATGATCGCCTTGAGAATGCGACCACGCGGTTTGTGTGGGTCGGTTCTGGCGTCCTGTGAAATGAAGAACCACAGACCATAGAGACTCCATTCAGACCTCCCTCGAATGCACCAGTTTCCATTCAGCCGCGCCACAAAACTTAGCTCTCGACAGGCTAGAACCATTCATGGCGCCCAGACATCTACTGCAGCTGCTCAGGCGTCTAGCAACTCTTGCAGTGGCAGCAGCAAACTCTGAATCGTGTGTTCAAAGTGAACGCTCACTCTGGACGCCATAGCATCCACCCGTGAGCAAGTCACGACGGCTCTTTCAACGCTGTTTGCAACAAGAACAGGACGCCGACTGAATAAAGTCTTGCAATCGTGGTGGCTGCATTGGGGCAAAGGGCGCACGCCCACTGCTTTAGAAGCTCCCCTGCTCCTTTCATTCGCCAAGGCTCTGGACTTGTGTCCCAAACCCAAACGATACAAAGGCATGCAACACTCGTGCACCAAAACATTCTGGTGCAGTTGCCCAGCCGGGGTTCGGGCCTTGGAACTCGGCTTGGGTCTCGGGGAGGAAAGGACTGACCCCGCCTTGGGTCTCGACAGGTTGGACGTGCCTCCGACGGAGCGATCAGAATCTTCTCGTGAGTCCCAGCGAACAGCTTCGATGCAGAATCGACTTCTGACCAAATCATTTCCAGCCCCGCCTAAACATCACCCCACCGCATTACCCACAGCCGCGAGGCGACTTCACAAGATCAATTCAACGCAGCGGACCTTCCCTAACGCGCCCCTCCCAGAACGCGATCATCGCCCGATGCAATCACGCCAGGTCCATTCCAAATTGCCCTCTTCCCGGCACTCTCTCGGAGGATCCTTATCCTCCACCCCGGCGCTTAGAGGGCTACCACTCACTGGGCAGCGTCGCACGGCCACGTGGTGATGGCGTAGTGGCACCAGGCGACGGGCGTGCCGATGAACGCCGGGGACTCGCCGAAGAGCATGATGAGCAGCAGGAAGGCCGTCAGGGCCACGTAGCCCAGGGCGAACGTGAAGAAGTCCATCGACGGTAGCAGGGGCGGGCGGCCAAGCCGGGGTCCCGTCGCCAGAGCGGCGCTGCCGAGGCCGCCTGGGTGGGAGCGACCTTGGGAGGATATTCCCCCCCGGTTGCAAGGGCAGAGGGGAGAGGGATAGGGCAAACACTGTGGTACAGTCAGCTTTTAGACACAATTTTAGTGGCGACACTGCCACCGTACTTTAGTCAGCAATTTGGCACGACGACGCGGCAAGTGGCGTTTCGTTTGGGAATACAGTAGGGGTCCCTTTTTAGCGCCCCCCCAGTAGCGCCCCCGGCCCCAAGTAGCGCCCCCTTTTTTGGCATGTCACCGTTTATATAATGCTTTATGCAGTTTTGTTGCGCAGTGGGACCTCAAGCTAGTACGGGGTTCCGGTTTAGCGACCCCTATTTAGCGACCTGTCTAAGTTTAGCGACTCCCTTTACGGCTCGTCACCATTCCCGTAGTGCTTTGTTTCACTGCGACAGGCCCCAGCGCCCGTGACTTCGGCGCCGCGACAGTCGCTGGCCCCAAAAGCCGGTATGGACCCAGTAGGCTGGGGGTAGCGTACGCCCCACACTGGCGGTCAAGGTATCCCGTACGCTGGCAGTTACCCCCTACCGGCGGCCAGGGTACACCCTATACAGGCAGCCAGGGTACCCCCTACATTGGCGGCTATGATACCCCCTGCACCGGCGGCCATGATACCCCCTGCACCGGCAGTTTAGGGTACTCCCTACACTGACGGCCAGGGTACCCTTTACACCGGTTGCTCGGGGTATCCCCTTGACACAATAGCGCCAAAAGGGGGGCGCTATTGGGGGCCGGGGGCCATGTCACGGGGGGGGCGCTATATAGGGACTCCTACTGTACCCCGCCCACCAGCTGTCCAACAGCTGTCGATTCAAGAAAGCACATGTCTAGTCTCAACACAAGAATGACTCGCGGTATGATCGTGTTGATGACAAAAAGTACACCCCTGCCTGTCCTCCTCGGATCGTTGTATACAGTCCGAATCCACCACCCCTCGCTCCCGAGTACAAGGATGACTGGGCAGGACAATACATGAAATGAAACCATAATTAGGACATATCGGGAAAGCGACCATGGCGTAAACGTCACACGGAATGGCAGGGGGCATCACGAAAATTAGTGCGGCCGTTGACAAAATGGCATGGGAACTAGCACCGCAAAAGGAGAGTAGTGGCAACAAAGCGTCGACAATTTCAAGGGCTTGGGAATATATCCAGTTCAAATAAGAAGTCAACAAACTTAGGACGTTTGGCGAAAGGCAGTGAGCAGCTTGCAGCACGCGGTGTGGAGAAGTACAAGTAAGGATTTTAGAGCTTTGGAGTCGATGACGGGCAGCTGTCACCATTAATGGGGCAGCAGCTCGAGGCCAATCACTGACTTCACTTTGGGGCTTTTGGGCCCAGGTGGGCGCTCTTCCATCCAAGACAGTCTTTACCCCCGCACTTCCTCTGCAGTCAACCGCCCTGCGCAACGTTGTACACAGTATCTAGTCGCCCACGACGTTGGGTCCAAACCAAAATCAAACTCCTGAAAAAAAAACTGCAGTTTCCACAGCTTCCCTCCAGTTTTTTTTTTCTTTATTCTCTTTTTTAGTCGGAAATCTAAGTGTTCATCGCCGACGAAAGTTGCACAGACAGTGGCAACGGTTGATCGACAACGACATGATTTACAGACCAAGTGTTTCATGCCATGTCGGTCTCGATCGAAAAATAAGCGGCGCGCTGGTTTTGAAGCCCCTCCTGTCCTTCCTATCTGCTCGTCTGACCAACTATCCATTATTGTCCCTGCAGTTCTGTCTGTGTCCTAGCATGCCACTAGAGTAAGCCCACACTGTGCGTGCCCATGGGTAGGTGTCTCGCAGCCGACCACTCCATTACAACAATTTGGTAACAAAAGGCATTGGTGCCGCGCCTCGCAAATGCCAAAGGACACAGGAACAGCAGATGACGGAACAAAACCCCAAGCCGGCCAGGGCAAAAGGTGTGGACCGCTGCCCCAACAGCTTGGGACCAACACACTTTGGGCTCCAGGTGAGGCGGGTATTGCAGGGTAAGGTTCTGCTAAACACAACTGTCAGAAACTCCTCCCGGGTTATATGTGTGTGTGTTTTCTCTTGTGCTATTCGACAAGTGGGCCTCAAGCGCACGCAAATCAGTGTGGAAATACGAAGATGGCTTGACAAAGGAGATAGTACACAGAGTCGACTTCCCCATTTCTAGCTTTGTATTCTGTTCCACACTACACAAGATATGCAGACGTACATGGATGTGGCAGTCGAACAAGCAATTAACGCCAGAAATAGCAATGAACAGGTTGCAACAAGTGCATTCCTTCTAGAGATTGTTGGTTGTGGAAGCCTGTGTGTCATGTGTGCTTGCAATTAACTAACGCACAACGAGCGCGGTGGAGTGTATCCTGTTTCAACACCCGCACAACTCATCCATCTGCCTTCAAAGTGAGCAAAGGGCCTGCAATTTGCGATCTGATCGCGATCGAACACGTCAGAAAGACCATTGCATTCTGAAGCAAAGACGCCACAATCTACCAACAGCCGTGTTGCAGACAATGGTCCCACTTCCCATGAATAGCACGCCAATGGAGGACTGATGAATTTTACAAGTGAGTCCAGAAATTCCCAGAAATGGTGTGGTGTTGGCTGCGGGCCCAGGTCAGTGATGATGATCAAGTTCATGCCTTGTCACCACAGAAATGTGTCACTGCATGGAATTCCAACCACCTTCAACAGTGCAGGCGCAACTCAGTTCCGTCTCACGATGGCACAACATCCAGATCAATTCATGATGGCATGCGCTGGGTACCAGGCATCGGAACTCGCCTTATCAAACTCAGCCTGCCCCAGGTCCGAGGCCTAACAGATGCCAGCCAAACTGCAGCTCAGAGCGATGTGCACACAAAATGCGCGTGACCACTCACAGTCTCCTCTTCTACCTCAGCACAGGTTGCCCCAGCTGTCCCAATCGCCTTGTACACTCACACATGGCAAGCCATTTCGGCGATCACTGGAGATTGAGGTTGCGGACCACCGACCGGGGCGCTCAGCTTTCCCACAGAAGCTCCGAAACCCACACCCAAAGCCTACACGTCATTTTCACTCGTCGTTTCACTTGTCTTTTCGCTCGCCTTCGCCAGATCGGAGGCCTCCGGGCCGGAGCCGTTGGAGCTCTCCCGCCCCTTGATGGCCCCCACGCCCTTGGGTATCCTTGGCCTCTTGGGCTGGTCGATGATGGACTGGTTCCACTTCAGCTTCTGCGTGATCCCTTCGTACCAGTCCGCGTCCAGCTCCCCCACCGTGATCAGGGGCAGCGGGCACAGCGACGTGGTCAGGCGCACGGAGCTGCCGCGCACCAGGCGCGTCTGGTGCCGGCCGTCGAAGCTGGCCCGCCCCATCGACTTGGAGTCCTCGGCGATGAGGATGACGATGTCCGACGTCTCGGGCACCACCAGTGGCCGGAAGGAGAGCGACAGCGGCGCCACGGGCGTTATGATCGTGCACGGCACCGAGGGGGCCACCATGGGCCCCCCGGCGGTCATGCTGTAGGCCGTGGATCCGGATGGGGTCGCCGCGATCAGGCCATCCGCCGTGACCGTCGTCACGTACTGCCCGTCCACGAACAGGTCCACGGTGAGGGTGCTCGCGGAGGCGCCCCTGTCGATGATGCACTCGTTGAGGGTGTGGTGCACGGAGAGGCGGCGGCCCCGCCCGGTGTACACCTCGCAGCGCTTGCGCGAGCGCAGGGTGCAGCCCACGGTCTGCTGGCCGGCCACCAGGATGCGCGTGAGCTGCTTCTCGAAGTCCCTGATGTCGAATGGCGTCAGGAAGCCCAGCGTGCCCATTGCGAAGCTGACCACCGGCGCCAGGGGCTCGTCCTCCGCAAACAGCGACGCCAAGTGAAGAACAGTGCCATCCCCCCCAAGCGTGACGCAGAAATCGATCTCCACGCCGCCGGGCTCGAACGCCTCGAAGGACGCCGGCATGGACCCCAGCACGGAATTCTCCACGTACACACCGATCCCCCGCGCGCTCAGCCACAAGCCGATCTCCCGCATTGCCGCGCTCGCCTCCTCGCTCTTCGGCTTCTTGACGATCAGGCACCGCTGGGGCGCGTCGTCCTGCCAGACGATGTACGCGCGGCGCCGCAGCTGCAGCATGGCGGGGTCCTTCCAGAGCACGTGGGCGCCCTTGACGATCCCATCCTCGCCCATCCTGCTCGAATCCACTGCTTTCGCCCGCACGCAGCGGACGCTGCGCCTCACGCGGTAGGTCTCGAAGGTGCCCGCGTAGGAGAGGCCCCGGGCGCAATCGGAGTCATTCAACGGCCGGGCGCCCGCCGCAAGGCACCCCCTCTTGCATGCAGAGGCACCCAGTGCCGCCCGGAACGCGCCCAGCATCCACGTGAGCCGCGGACCGGGAATGGCGTGCGATGCGGACGTCCGCCAGGCACGATTGCCACCCTCCTGGCCTCTCCCTGACGGGGCAATGAGCCTCGGCGTCTTGCGGGGGGCGGCGGGCAACCAATCACACGCCCATCTCGCCTCTCCTGCACCTGCTGCCAAGCGCCACAATTGCCGTCCAACCCGCGCCGATGCCCCAATCTGCAGAAAGCCAGCAGGGGGCGCAGGACCACCCTATGCTCTGTGACCAACAAGATGCGGCTCTCTAGGCGCCTGAAAGGATGTTGTGTTGGCGGACGTTCAAGGGCGGGCCACCGCAAAGGTCCAGGCCCCTTTGGCCCGACACCAATCAGGGGCGGCTGTTGACTCTTCGGTGTGCTGCGCAGCGCCGCTGGCCTCGTACCAAATTCAGTGCGAACGTGCCCTGCCCCGCCCCGCGTCGCGCTGTCGTGGTCGGGTCTCTCGCGCGGCGCCGCGACGGCCGGGCCTTTCGTTATGGGTCGGGGGCAGCGCGTGAAGGCGGGTGTCAGCGACAGGCGCAGCCGGCTTGGGGTGCCTCTGCTCAAATGCCTGGGTTCAGGTACAAAGTACTGGTGAGTGCACCATTTTTTTGCAGTTGTTTGCTGTTTTTTTCAGTTGTTTTTGCTTTTTTCCCGCTGTTGCACGCATTCAAGTGAGTCCTGGCCTGGAGGCCGAGCACAGCGAGGGCGGGCTGCCTCGGTGAAACACAGGGAAGCACCGGCAACCTTGCGGCTTCCCCTGCGAGGTCAGGGGCCCTTCCGAAGAAGATGCTGAGAGCCCGGGCACTGACGATCGCCTGGGACGAGCTGTGCTCGCTGCGCGGGCGCTTGGCAGCCTTCGCGCCGAGCATCGACTCGTGCGGGGGCCTCGTGCTCTCAAGACCCGTCTCTCTGAAATGCTTTGGGCATGAGTCCACCTTGCCCACGGCCCGTCCATTCGACCGCCCTCCTGGATGCCATCCACCCCTCAGCGGCTCCGGCCGTCCATGGCGATGCATCCCTGCTGCCCCATTCGCCACCGCCGCCGATGGCCCGATGCCTTCCCCGCTGCAGATCGCCCCGGGCCCCTCGACCCCCTTCCCGGGGCCATCCACGCCCGACGCCCTCCGCACCGCCCGGGCGATCAAGCGCGGGGTCCAGATCAGCCCCAAGAAGCTCAACCTGGTTGCCAAGCTTGTGAGGAGGATGCCCCTGGCAGAGGCTTTCAGGCAATGCGATGTGATCCCAAAGAAGGCGGCACGACTCGTGCGGGAGGTGCTGAAATCCGCGGCTGCCAATGCGGAGCACAACCACAGGCTGCGGCGCGCCAACCTGACGGTGGAAGAATGTTTTGTTACCAAGGGCACGAACCTGTACAGGACGTGGTGGCACGGGCGGGGCAAGGTGGGCAAGCGGACGAGGTACTACTCGCACTTGACGGTGGTCTTGAGGGAGGCGGACGAGGCAGGGGCGGGGACGGGGGGAGGGGCCAGGGTGGCCAAGGCGCTGATGGACAGGCCGCGGAGGCAAAGGGCCGAGGCTGGCGCCTGAGGGGAAAGATTTGGTGCAGAGGAAGAGAGAAACAGGTCATACAAAGGGCAACCCCTTCTAAGCAAATGCGTGCGAGACTCTTTTGCATGTTGTGAAAAGATGATGTGGAGGCTTTTGGTGGCAAAGGGCTGGTGGGTGTGTTGCATTAGGTGTTTGACCGTTGGTGCCCTGGTGGAAAGGTTGCAGATCTCGGACCCTGTGGCACGTGTGACGATGCTCATGCTGTCCTAGCTGGGGCACGCAGCCAGGTGAGCGAAGGCCGAGGAGGGTTTTGGGGGGTTGGGTAGTTTGGTTTGCACGGTGTGCAAGATTTTGAGACTCATCCAACAACAGGTCACAGAAAGGGCTTCTCCTGAGCAAGTGTGTGCAAGGCTCTGTGGATGTGGGGCCTCTTGCAACTGCACGCCAGATGTTGTCCTGCCTGCATCGATCGAGGCTGCTTGCTAGTGACGATGGCCTTCTTGAGCACAGAGTTGATCTATAGCTAGCTTATTTAGAGCGCTGGGAATGTAGCAGAGCATGCCTCGGCAGTCAGAAGGTGAGAAAGATGGATTGTCAGGGGTGCTGATATTGGTGTAGTGACGATGCTGGCCACTGTGGTAAACTCCTTCGACAATCAGTTGAGTTGCACGCAGATGTTTCACCAAAGCCGAAGCAGAAGTGGAATAGAGGTTGAGGTTGTCCATATGTGGTAGTGATCGTGAAATTGCCAAGGAGCACAGTTGCTGGGTCTGGCGGATTGCATCGATTGTCACAATTTCAGAAGAGAAGACTACCATGTGGGCTGAGCAATGTATGGCAACACTGGTGCGTCAACATGTACAATACAAATGCATTGTGACATTCAATGTTGGCCTGTTTTGAATGCGCCTCTGAACTCTTGTCAGTCATGAATTCGGCAGAAGCTACAGAAGGATTTACTAATATTTCTTGATGCAGTGAATTGTTCGATGGTGAGGGAGATGGATGATGGGACACCGCTGAGAATACATAAACTCCATGAACCACATAAACTCCAAATCCAGCAGCTGCTGTAGTGGTGTCCAGGAAGCCCTGAGGCTGATCTATGCTGAGCACCTGCCCTGGGCATGTTTTCTCTATAGTCTGGTGCAATTTTGCAAACTAGGTAGTTGCAATGCTGTTTGATGTATTCTGTTCAAGCCAAGCCGTAATTCGAACAAATTTCCAGCAGCGATGACAAATTCTCGGCTTGTTACCGTGCCACGATTCAAGTCCTCAGGATGATTCGTCCTGAATTCATGCTTATTAACACCTCTGCATCAATGGTGCCCAATGCAGTGGCCGCAACAGTTGCCAAGCAGATCAATGGTGTGCTGCATCATGAGGTGTTGACATTGGGGTGACGCTTGAGGAGACCTGCATGCCTGTCTCCTGGGGCATCACGCAGTTTTGACCAGTGCTGCAGGCCTGGAACTCCCCAGTTTGGGACACTGCATGGGGTCTCATTGGGTGGGACATTTTCCTTTTCATTTCCTTGCTTCCTTTAAGAGCCAGGTTAACCATGAGCTTTCTCGTGTTTACTGCCACCCTGATTCGCGTTGTGCAACCATGTGGTGTGGATTGTGGATCTCGGGTTTTGAAAACAAGTTTGCTTGGAACCCCCAATCCATGCCCACTGTCACCTCCCAAGTGCAGGAGCATTGATTGTCAAATCCCGTATGACGCTTGTAGCCCATAAGTTTTGTCATTCTGAACGCCAGATTGACGCCAGGAGAGGGGCGAGGGGGAAGTGCTTTTTACTCCACGTACTGTACGCTCGCCCATCCATGTGTGATCTGGCTAGCCAGACCAAAACTGAATGCATGCGCTGGACAGATAGCTTTCCATTGATTTGAAGCATACTGTGACCGCCGATAAGGGGCCGAATCAACATCGTAGAAAACTTGATGAAGCATTTTGGAGGTAAAGAAGGGAGGTGTTCTGTACCGCTGCTGGTGTGACTTTACGATGGAATCCTTGCCACCCTTATTGCTAGGCCAACCACAGAGCATACGACACAACACTGGTTGGCTATTCCTACACCGCTGTTGCCTTTCGGGTGCAAGGGTATTTTTCTATTGTGTATTTGCGACCAGTTCAAACAGTGGAATGAACAAACTGCGAACACCGTAGTCTCAACTACTGGTAGTGCTTTGGACTTCTTTCCTAATCCTGAAACTCCACAAATTGAGGGCAGTACTTGAGAAGGGGCGCAAAAGATGTTCCCGGCGTACCTGTCCGCGATTCTCAGACGGCCCCGAGCACAGCGATGCGGAGCGGCGAGAGGAGGACCGGACGCCGCTCCGCGGCGGGCGGCAGAAGGCGATGTGAGACTCGCAGGGCAGCGGTGCGAGGATATTCCATCAATTCGCGAATGCGGGAGCCTCAGATCCTTCATCAGCAGACCCGTTGCTTTCCGGCATCCTTGCGCTGCGGGACGCTCGTCAGATGCTGACACCCGAAGATCCGACTGGCTCTTTGAATGTTTTGTCAGAGAAGAGGCGATCTGTGCTGATTCTGAGGGCGATTACAGCCAAGGCCCAGGAGCAGCTGCAGACGAAGCAATAGCAAAAGCAATAGAAGGTGTAGAGGAAGCGCTAGCAGGTGCGGGTGCACATTCCTGCGGTGGCCTTACCGGTTTGGGCACTGGAGTTCGTCAATGCAACCCCTTCGTGTGCGTCTTGCACAGCCTCATGGATCTGTGTACCTCTTGCAAGCCAAGGCTTCGAAGGGATTATGGCTTGCTGCAGAATTCATAGAACTAGCACCAGCGTGAAATTTTGATTGCACTGTGGGAAGGGATTTCATTGCGTTATTGAGCACACTTCTGGCTATCATTGGACTGTTGGCATGAACTGGTTATGGCCATGTATTCAGGCAGCCCAGATTGTCAATCCCCACTTTCAATTTTGCCAACTCAAGTTGCCACGTGTGTTGAAACCTGTGTGTGTTCCTGACTTCATTTATTGCGAAAATCTTTCTGTGTGAAGTGTTTTCTTCACCTCCATTTGTTGTCATCTGTGCGGGAGCTTCTGGATTCTGGATGGTTGTCTTGAGGCGCAGGCTGTGCTCACAGAGACAAGGCTCTATTTGCGCATGCAAGATCTTTGTTCCTATTATTATATTATCTTTGTTCCTATTATCTTTGTTCCTACTATTGTTATGTTATCCCTTTACAGCCTCAACAAATTTGTGAACAAGGCATTGTCGTGAAGTTTGTGTTCCATCAGCCCAATCGTGAACATGTGTTTTGGACCAAAACTCTGCCCAAAACTGGACTGCAACGTACCGTGGTGACAGCACAGGTACTCAAACAGGCCATGTTTGTATGGGTGTGCATACGGCCTTGCAAGTTTGTTGTTATATCTGTTATAAAGTACAGCAGAATGAAATGTTTGAAATGCACGATGGCTATGGCATACCATAGGCCAAGTGTGATACATCACACTTGGTCAAGCAGTGACTGCTGATAAATCCAATGGAAAACTGGCTGCACAGCCACAATTCGCCAGCTGGAGCCCTCTTGAGTGTACTCCAGGATGTTACCCTCGATTGCGTTCCCTTGTCAAATCTTGCAGATTGCTTGGGCAGCTAGCGATCCAGTGGTGGCTATCCACATGCAGGTACCCCATCTTTTGATGCTAAATGCTTCTGGCCTGGAGACACTCGCATAGTGTCCCCGATTCCCGCATGGTGCAGAGGAACACAGGCATTGCTGTCATTCACTGCGATCTGGCGCTGTGAAAATATGCTGAGGTGCTTTAGCATGGTGGATGCTGTTTCTGTTATCTTGCCTTGCTCTGAGGAGCTACAAGCCAGGAAGGCACTGCAATGCAATCTTACGCAGGATACCATCATCCACAAAAGCCAATGGCGACTGGCCGAGGCGGGTCCCAAGTGATTCTGCCAAATCGCCAAAGGAAGTGTGTGCACTAGATAGTAGCCGACCACAAAAACTTCCTCCCTACCTTGACACCTTTGTGTTGTGCTTCCTCTTGTGTAGGAAGGTGCTGGCGAACGTTCACTAGGCCTTGGGGCAGCTCCTGCGTTGGCCATGTGGGATGAGCATCGCAATGCACTGGAGGGCATCATTGATGTCGAGAAGGATGTGCCACGTGCCAGCATTCTGCCAGACGCTCACTATGTGGTGAGCAGCTGCCTCCTTTCCTCCTTTTGTCCTTGTTTGTGCAACACTTTCAGAAACCTTGCTGTTGTCGTTCGTTTCACTTTGTCTGCAGACAGCCTAGTCGCTTAGATCTGTTGAAGTTTGCACTGATGGAAATCATCACCTGCAGCACGATTTTGATGATCATTGCTAGTACGACATCAAATCATTAGAATTTCTCCCTTGGTTTTAACATACTGATATTTAATTGACTGTCACGTTCTTCATTAAAATCATCACACAAAGGAATGCCATTGTATTTCGTACTTTTCCAGGTAAGGAGGCGGGCTTGCTTACACCCCAGAGCTGGTGTTCGATTGCCGACTATTGCAATTCCATCATCAGCCAGTCTGGTCTCGAAGAATGTTGGTTGTTGGTTTCGGAAAACTGGAGGCTGTCCCATGCAAGCCCAGCACATTGTGAATTATTAAGATGGGCAGGAAAGTGACTGGTCAGTCCTCCCCAGTCTGGCAGTTCTCATGTTAATTGGTGCTCTATTAACGACTGCCAATCCCCGTCTTTTGCTACCTCAGAACAGAGGTGCATCTCATTAGACGCTCAGGTCACCTTTCAACTTGAGCTGCCTGTCACATCAGGAGCTTATGGATGTTTTCAGCTCTTGTCGCATTTCTGTCAACTCCTTTTCTTCAGCGCACATTTGTCAGTTTGAGCAGATTGTCTTCAACTGTATTGTATCTTGCATGGGCATAGTGGCCCCTCTTCGCAGGACATGTACATCTCCAAAGCCCATCCTGCTTTGTTATCGGGGCAAGTGCAACAACAATCAGTACAATTTCTGCATTAAATATACAACTGCCAAGTTGTAACAGAATTTGCAATCAAGAGAACGCAACGCATCTTTTCTACACATGATTTGCACTGCAGTGCATGATTGTCAGCTGCAAAACTATGCACACATTGTGTATGAATGCCATTTTTATTGCGAGGGTAACAATGCACAGGGGAGTGTGCATATGCACCGAAGCTACCCTTGCCTTCCTCTTGATACATTCACCCGGCTGTCTATACATGTAAGTTGCTTCAGGCAGTGAAACTGCACTTTGATGCCATGTCGTCAACTTGGGGGACACCGTCGGCAGCATCTCGGTTAGCGGTGGTTGTTCATGTGCACTTGGGCTGCACAGGAGGAGTTTGAGGAAGAAGATGAAGTCCCAGATTCGGAATTTGAGCCTCACGTTTCTGGCCCACAATCTGCACATGCCAGCGCCGTGTCACACTCGACCGACCAGGACATCAGTGTTGTGGAGGAAGCCATCACCTGGCAGCACGGCGATCCATGCCGGGCTTTCATGCCAGCAGCTGCAGAGGCTGAGGTGCAATCCATTGGCAAAAATAACAACACAAAGTCAATTTGTGGGGTTACGCTATGTGGAAAACGCCTTCTCAGGCACACGTGCCACTTGTGCAGGACCCATCAACTAACGCGGTAGATAAACACCGCTGTCGTCACCCCAGAGGCGTCATCGCCAGTGACGATGGGAAAACGGAAAACAGAAATGATAAGCAGGAATACGAAGCACAGCCTTGAGGATCCACGCTCCACACAGAGGCGTCGTGCTCAATCGCGGTGTGCGCGACTGTTCCAATGCGATATCATGGCATCACAGGGGTTTGTTATCTTACTGATACTTATTACGATACTTACGATATTTTTTACCATATTTATCATTTCTGGATCTGAAGGTAATGAAGGGGTCATAAAGGGCACGAAGGGTACGAAGTCCTTACAAAATTCAACGAAAGTACCTAAGCCCGAAAATAACCTTCGCGACTTGAATGATCCTGTGACTTTCGCGACCTTCATGTGAACAAATGAAGGGCACCAGGCATTGTGCCATCACATGCACAACACACTGTGGGGAGAGAATTTCAATGACTCAGCACACTAGCAGCAGAACACTAGCAGCAGAACAAGTGGCCGCCATTTGGCCTAAGTTTGTTCAGCATCTGGAAAGCTGCCGCAGTGACGTCATGTGACGCAACGACACCGTGCGCGCTGGCGAGCTTTTAAAAAGCACGCAGGGAACGCAGAGGATCGCCAGGCGTGGGCTGAAGAGAACACGCCAGGGAATGTACGCTGGCACGCTTGCTATGCGACACGTGTGAAATGAAACTGCGCCTCCCTGTTAATTGCACTGAATGCTTGATGGATGATTCGTTTTGAGTTTTGACGCCAGAACGGGATGAGCTCTTTTTCATGGCGGAGTTTGGTCACAGATACTGGAGGACATCGAGGCAGATGGTGCGCCACCCCAAGGGGCGCAACAATGTCAAAGCGTTCTTGAGCACGGAGCTGAGAGAGAGATGTCCGCGACCCCACCCCGCAGAGAAATCCGACCGCTGTCGGCTACCAAGAAGACAAGAACACCTCGCTCTGGTCTTGTGGGACATCTATTGCCACGCGCGCGATGCAAAATACTCGACCTGCAAACACGGTCATGAACAGTCGACATGGATTCAAATTACCTTCCGTGATGTCGCCGCTCGATGGTCTGCCATTGTGTCAGAGATTTGACTGGGCAGTTGGAGCGTGTGCCATGGGGCCAATAACCACTTGTGGCGCGTCGCAGCAGTGCCCTGAAGGGCTCGGCGTCACAGCCTGAGACAGATTGTACAACGAGCTGCGCGACCGTTGAACCGTTTTTCACGCAAAACTTACTTTCTCACTACGCTTCAGTGCATCCCAACAAGTGGCTGCAAATTGGTATGCATCATTTGCGACAAAACCAGCGATGACCCTGCTGAGGGACACATGCAATGGATGTCGACAGATCTCAACATATGCGAGATATCCCCGGTCAGGACTTCAGGCAAATTCGCAGCTCGCCTCGGTTTCGACGCCAGGACTGTGTGCAGCCTCGCAGACGAAAGACACAGGACAGGACGCCACCTCGCTCGAAAGACCAAGTGTCAATGTGGCGCAACTGATTCGGCAAGCTCCGGAAGAACATGCACAGACCACATCCAGCTCGCTTCTCCTGGTCGCTGACGAGGCCACGACACCCCATGCTCCCAATGATCTGGGACGCAAGCAGACGGGGCGGGGCGACAGCGACCACACATGTGTGGGAAAGGTCAGTGCGGAAGGGCAATTTCTACTGCAAGACTTCGCCAGCAAAAGGCAGTGTTGCAGAACGCACCATCGCTGTCATCTTGCTTGTTCTCAGAGTGGCCAACGCGTTTTTCTTTCCTGCACGTCCACTTCACTTACCTTAATGTCATGCACAATGAAGCGGTCGTTGTCCTTGCGCGTGCGCGCTGTGCCGTGGAGCACTGTAAGGAGGAGCAATCGTGTGAGCGTCAGGTGTTGAGTGACTCGATTCCGATTTGGAGTTTGAGGAAGCCTAGGCGTATACCCTGTGCTGGCAGGCGTGAGCATCTGGAGTGCAGTGTGCGCTGTGGTCAAAAGCGGAAACGCGTGCATTAAAAGTCGGGGCCGGAACAGCGTGGCGCCTGCACTGTGTGGGCTGGCCACGGAGGGATGGGCGATCCCAGAGAGGCAGAGCCCATCGGCATTGATGTTCGCGGACGATGCTTATTGTCCATGCGATTGATGGTCGCCGACTATCCAGGCGAACCAAAATGTGCTTGCTCAGGAGCTCCTAAAGGTTTCAAGAAGATGCTTTTTAAACGTATTTGGGCAATCAAACCTGAAGCCGCAGACTTGTCTATTCTTCGCCAGCAAAGCCCCGCAACACCTCTGTTCATGGCTGGCATTTTCGATGCAATGCCGGTGCATCCACACTTATCATCAGCACCGATGGCAAATCAGATCGCTTGTCGCTGGGTATGAAGAAATAGATGGTTTATTTCGTGTTTGGGCTGCAGCAGCTTCTTTCCTGCAGCTTGCCAACACCAGTTTGCTGTATCACGACTGACAGTGTTTGGGCAGGGAAATTCAGCAGGTGATTCTTGGCTTCCTCACTACCACGAATCCTATGCCACCCTTCCTCTTTCAGTTCTTTTGAAAAGCCCGTACCACCGTGTCTTAGCAAATTCACAATTGAAGTCCGAGATCGTCGTCCTTTTGCCTGAGTAAGCTAGCTACATATCGAGGTACCGCTGGCTAAAGAACGGCGAATTAGGGATCATGGTGGACCTTTCCCTACTAATGAAATTTCCACCTGTGCTGGCGATGTTGAGAACACCTGAACATTTCTTCACGTTCTGTTTTACGTGGACAGATGCTACAAATCCTCTTTTTATCTTCTCACAACGGGAGTCCGACAATGGGCCTTACGGAACTGGAGCTATTCCTCCAGGATGGTCGAAGGCTTGAACTGCGACCAGAAGATGTATCGCTGCTCTCTGGCACCGAAACTGACCGCTCCGGCGATATTTCTGCACTTGTGAACGGAAGGGCAAGAACCACGAACGAGAGGGACATGTGGCTTTGCCGCCCTGTCCAGGGAGTCGGCCTCGAGCACGACGCGATTTCAGGGAATTGTGGTGTGTCAATCGCGCTGCGGGAGTCGCTCGACGTGTCGGAACTGGGATGGCTGCGCGTATGGAATTACAATCGAGGGCTGTCGGGGATAGGACATGGTGTCAAAGATGCTCAGGTGATGAAGTCTCTGTATCGGCTTCAAAGTTTTAGTACTCATTCCGCTGAGAGAGTGCAACAAAATGATTGCTTTGCAACGACAAAAATTCAACACATGCCTATGTGAATTAGGGAACACGTGGTGATAAGGAACATGGCGATCGGCGGTAAATCTGACCGACATGGCTTTTGGTATATGAATCTAGAACCTTAATTGTAGGATGCGCATAGCCAGAATGGTTGTTTGGGAATAGGTTCCCTAGTGCTTGTGCAAGCTGCGCAACAGAAACGCACACAGAATCAACGCCATAAGATGCTGTTTTGATGTGTCAACCTGTGCGAGCCACCGTGATTGATGCCAAATGCACTGACGGCACTGCAGGTAGTGCTTGATGGGGAAGCGATATGGAAAGGAGTTATCGCAAAGGGCTGCGGTAACCCCACCTTCGACTACTCCACCACAATACCTATCTTCGGCCAGGCGCCTTGTCTTGAAATGGGAACCCCGCCTGTTGTCTGTTGGGAAGCGCTTCCGCGAGGGAATGCACCACATAGGGAAAACACACAAAGGTACATCGAGAACTGCCAGCCGTCAAGACGCAGAATGCCAAGTGCGCAGGAGCCCATGGCCACTTCCTCTGGATCAAATCTACGACACGCGGAATGCGTGGATATTTTGCCTGAAGTAGCATCTGCCCATGGAGAATGTGGGGCTTTCAACCAAGAGTCAGCAGAGGGCGCATCGCACTGTTCAAGTGGACGAAATGAGGAGGAAGCAAGCACGTTGAGTCGAAGTCGCTGCGATTCTCCCCTGCAGCTGCCAAAACGTTCGTTGAAGGCAGCAGCAGAGGAAGCAGCATCCTCAGGGACCGAGGGACTACGAGAAGGGGACAACGGGATAAGCCAGGCGGTGCCCTGCGCGAGTGTGCGCTCCGTTGATGTGCGTGCAGACGGCTCGGATGCCTCACCCAGAGTCTTCACGAGCCATGAGCCGCCTGGAGAGTGGAGCGCAAAAGATGAGCTGCAAACTGGGCTTCCCGGCGATCAGGACGGAGATCGGGAAGATTGCTGTACAAATCGCGCTCCCATTTGGCTGCTGGATTGGTCTCTGGCGACGAAAAGGAGCGACACATGGGATGCCATGCCCGAACATTCCCGAACAAAGATGAGGCCTGTCAGCGGACGAAGAAGCAAGGCGACAAAGGGCTGTGAGGAAAAGACAAGTGATCCCTCAAATGAAGGCAGGTGTCATAGTCTAATGTGGTACCGTACGCATTCGTTACCGATTTTATTGCAACAGCCATATGTTGTGTTTTGCATTGCTTCAAGGAAAGCTCAGCACATGCGGCAGCCGTCTCTGTCGTGCATCCATTGACGCCAAACTTCCATTCCCATACTTCAGGTGAGCCGATATGTCTAAAATGCCTCGCATGCAAAAATAATGAAAAAACTGCATCCTTACGCCAGCGCAGCTCGCGAGCACAAGCCCATTTTGAGCTTTATATCGACATAGCTGCAGCAGTGCATTACCCGGAAGTTCAAAAGCCATGAATTGTGGCTGCCATCAGGAATCAGTCAGTGTACCAGCTGACATGCAGTGTTTTACTCACTCATGATTGGATAGGACCGCTCCCCTGGTGGAAAATCGGCCCTAATGATTCACTGCTATGCTGCCGCACATGGAAAGCATTGCTGACAGTCGATGCTCTGGAATGAGGACGGCAGCGCGGAGATTCATATTCGTTATATATCAATTGTGGCCGTCTCGCACCAGAGTGCAACTTCAATCGAACATCAATTGAGCTGCTTTACGCACTTTTTGCTTACATTCATTGCTCTATCTCCATTAAAGCGTGTACTCCATACCATACAGGGTGCCAAGCGCGCATTTGTTATCCTTCCGCCGTGCATTACATTGCGCCCAAGTTGACAAATTGACAAGCTACGCGGCGTGCAGCTGTCGAAGAGAGTCAGCATGCTTGTGGTGACAAACACAGCGCTGAGGATGAAAGCGCCTTGGGAAATCCTGGAAGCAGCAGCCGTACGCGTTGGAGTGGATGGAAGGCGACCATTTTTTTAACGGAAATGCTTGAACACGACACTGCATACGCACATATGCACATATGAGCGCCCTTGCATACGTGCACACGTGCGAGCGCTCCTGCATATGGCCATACGGATTTTCACATACGGTTGCGGTCCTATAGGCATGAAAATTCCTGCACAACATTTCCTAGTAATAAGCCTTCCGATGAAACTGCGAACGAGCCTGATATCAGTCCTACCAACTAACCTCTACCTGTGTAGGATTCTGTGAATCTTGTTTTCATGCAGGCATTGTATGAATGTTCAGAATGGATTTCGGGCTGCTGGGAACGTGCCACTTTAGAAATTAACTGCTTTTGCGTTAATACAAAATTGGGGTTAGTGGGGACCGCTGTCTAATTCCCAGCTCCTCTGTGGCTGCGAATCTTGCTTAGCGGCTGAATCGAACTGGGCATGCGAAATGCCTTTTAACGTTGAAGGACGCTTAGAGAGCAAGAGGTCATCTGGCAGACGGTCGAGGCGGGAAAATATCCTGGAAAAGAGCCTGGATTCACTGAGCATTTTCAGGAAGCATCAGGTGGAGTACTCTGGGGGCGCAGAACTGGTAGTAAACTCATGTGTTTCATAATTGCATATTTCACTTGGACATCAGGCGAATTCAATCGGTGCAGTGGTGTATTTGTTACTCCACAGACAAGGACGCATTCTCCGAGGGAGCGATGCTCTTGCGGTAAATTACTATCAGAAGGCTTATCAACAAATGAGGCATATATCAATCTCTTGCGTATGGAGCAGATGGCTAGTCGCTGGGTAATTGTCGACAAGTAGATTCAACTTCATGCCAGTAGGAAAACTTTCTTGTGTGTGAGCAAATCATGCTAATAGTGGCTGGAAACAAGCAAATTTTTTGGAACTTGCATACCCGTAACTGATCTCAAGCTGCGGTGCTGCTGTCGTGATTTCCAAAGTCCAATTTTATTACATGTATTTCATTTACTTCGAAGTAATAACATTGCAATTTGAGAACCACAGCAGGAGCATACATATGCGTATTCAAAGGAGTTAAAAAATTTTCTGTCCTTAGGCTGGTCGTATTGGGAAATGCGACTCGGAGTCTGGCATTCAGAGCTACGCAAGAGAAGGACAAACCAGCGTCGACAATTCACTCAACTTTAAAGATACCTTTGCTGACGCAAAGGAGATGATGCGGGGCGCCGTGGGCCGCCTCAACCTGGGTGCCTTTACCAATGATGACGCACCTCAACGTCCCGATTCCGGTCAAGACGATGTGGCCAGAATAGGAGCGGATGCAGACGTGCAGCATTTTGCTGAAGGAGAGAAATCTGGTCACGATGGCGAAGAAATTCAGGCATGTGTGAAATCTTCCCTTGGGCAACCTCCCAGAGCGCAGCGCTCTGTACATCTTTGCAACGGGGACTTTGCTTATGGCACGTGATGCAGATGAATGGGCCCCACCCCGCACTTCGGGTGGTGGATATGCAATCTGCGCCATGCAGCTTGCCGCAGAACCCCAGCCTTCTTTCTCTTTCACATTTTGCGTGGATGTAGAGCGCCATATGGAGCATTGTGAAGAGGAATTTCGGTCCCAAAAATGCGCTGTTTGCTGCAGTGTCCCGCAGGCGTACTTGAAGTGCTGTCTTCAGCCGATGAATCGCCTCTCATTGAATCCGAGTCATCCCTAGCCTGCATGGACGCCCACATTGGGGATGCCTTCCCAGTCTCCTGCGACTTCGCCATCCCAACACGGCCGTCAGGCCAAGTCGTCGAGTTGCGCATTTTTACCACGTGGGGAGATCCGCACTACGTGGGGCTTTCGGGTGTGGAGATCTTCGATAGTCTTGGACAGTTTGTGGCGATCAAGCATGGAGTGGGCCAGGTAGAGATGTCTCCGGAAGGGGCAGGCGTACATGAGAGATATGGGAGCGACCCTCGGACGCCTGAAAAAATCGTGGACGGTATGAAGAAACTGGAGAGAATTCGCTTGATTTGTGCAATTTGGACGGAGCATTGATTGCATTAAGTTGTTGAAGCTCGTGTGCCCTTTGTTTTCTATCCCTCGCAAGTTAATCAACTCGTGTGGTAGCTGCCTTGTTGTTTTGGCCATTCCTACCACTGCCCTCCCCCTTGCCTGATGGTGCATGGTTGTCTAATTTGCCATGGTGACATGCTAATGTCCCTTCACATATCTGTATCAACTGAAAGGTCTTTCGAATCAAGCCGCCACATTGTGAAAGCTCGACGGTCATCTTTCCCTTGTGTTCCGGGCTCGCGCGTATGTTTCGAGTTCCGCACAACTGGTCAACTAGCAAAATTGCAGTGACCACATGGGATGCTGCACACATACACGTATTTCGATAGATGGTCGTTTGACAATAATCGACCTCATGCCAAAATTATTGCGTCAGTGGACCGACTTGACAGCAGGAACAACGAAATGGGAATTCATCCAAAATATGTTGATGCGACAAGGTTATCACGAATCAACTGTCCGTGAAACGGTGCCATTTCATGTGAATAGATAAGCCGCTGTGAAGGGTGGGAAATATGTACCGCGCACTAGAGAAAAAGATCCAAATAGCGCGTGTACAAATTTTACGTGTTTGTGTTATTTTTGTGCTCTTAGCATGCAGAACTTTGATGAAATATTTCTTATGGGTGCCCACAAAAGTTTTATTTGGTCCTCTTAATGCTAGCGGCGGTGGGAAGCCTGCGATGGATGTGGCGTCGCATTCGCATTCTCTTTTTCCAAAAGCATCTCCAATGCCGCCTTCAGGCGTATCCATGACGTGCGACGACTTGCACGTATGGCTGGCGCCGTTTCCGGACGCGGGGGCAGTTTCAATAAGGATTGATTTGGGGGGCGTCGTTGAGCTGGGCATGCTGCGGATATGGAACTACAACAAGTCTAGGGTTCACACATCTCGCGGGGCGCGTGAAGTGCGCCTTGCCCTGGATGGCGGCGTGATATTCTGCGGGGAGATAGGCCGCGCGCCGGGCAATCTGGCTGAGTCGCCGGCTTGCGCGGAGTGCATCCTGTTCACGGAAGAGGAGGCACCTCTGGCGGCTATGGACAAGTTCGATGACAGGTAGCATTTCCCAGGACTCCATTTCATGGTCTGCGCTCGACACCATGAAGAGTAGTCATGCATTTGAATATGTTCGTTTCTGACGGGTTGATTAATTGGAAATCAAAATCGGCTGGATTGTTGAAGAACATGCAACCAACACTGGTATACTTTGCATTGCAGAGTATGGCGTCATGAGTATGTGAAGGAAATCTTCATAATGATGCGGCAGCGTGTGTTCGAAAAGATTTGCAGCCACGCAACACAGGCTCCCGATGTGTGCAGCCTGCAGAACAGCAAAAGAACAGGTCCGTTGATGGTCATTAAGCTACGAATGAAAAGACAACTGTCATTATAATGTCATAATTGAGTGCAGGAACTTGAGATCTCAGGCCTGGCAATTGGCATCGCGTGGCTGCAGGAGCGAACCGTATGGTATACGATCTATTAATTGCACATATGTGCGTATCCAGATACCGGGCGGCTGTGGCTGGAATCGTATTTCTGGAGGCCAAGAATCAGCCACCAAAACCTCAACCCATAGAAGTTGTGCTCTGTAAGGAAGAAGGCCATGAGAAAGGTACTGAAAATTTCGCCCTAACCTGTGAAACATTGTGCACTCGCGGATTTTGGAAGCTATTGCAAAATTCGCGTCAGCACAGCGCATGTGATCAGGCTTTTAGACCTTATTTCACTTATAAATGCCATTTCGCAAATCCCATCTGCCTTTGCCATTCCCGTCCTCATTTTCATTAATACCGCGACGAAGCGGACAACGGCAATAAATGGACCGAACCGGATTGGAAACCAATTGATTTCCTAAAGTATGTTGATTTATGGGACCCAATAGGGTCTCCAAAATTTGGCATAACCCAAACAATTAGATATGATCAGGCTTGGTTTTTACGTTTACGTTTACGTTTTCACTTTTACGTTTTTACGCGTAAAAACGTAAATATGCAAAAGGGCCTATTTTTACGGCTATTTTTACGCTTTTACGGCTCCCTGGGACACCCAGGTTACACGAGGAAAGTTGCTTACAATGATCAGTCATTCGCCATCTCCAGCACCCACAACACAATGTCCAACTTGCCCTTGGCAAAGGCGATGATGGTGTTTGACAAGAACTCGTTTTCTGCCCCTTCCAGGGGGTCTGGCTGCCAGTCTCCGGACTCCGCAAGTCTGCATGTACTGTCCTTATGTACACCGGGTAGTTTTTACGTTGTATTTACGTATTTTTACGCATTTTTTCGCGTAAAAACGTAAAAACTGTTTTTACGCGTAAAAACGTAAATACGATCAGTTTTTACGGCGTAAAAACCAAGCCTGGATATGATCTAAATATTTGAATTATGCTAAATTGCAGAAACATTTGCATTGGCTACCGTAGTGTATAACATGTCTAAGCAGGACCAAATAATGCATTCACCGCATTATATCGCTATTTCATAAAATATTCACAATGTGCACTCGTAGCCATGACCACTTTGCACGGATTTTTTAGCAGTGAGTCATTTCAACCACGATCTTCCTCTGCTGCATCAGATGAACAGGGCGGCAGACCGCGCCCAAGCACCAGGCCCCAGTGGCGCCCCACGAATGCTCATCTGGAGGCCGCCGTCCGCGTCCACACCACCCACAGGCGCCCAGTGCCGTCTCCACTGCCACCTGCGCACAAGCTCCCCTCTGCGCCCATTGAACCGATGCCTGAGGGACGCGAGATTATGTTGGAACTGCTGGAGGCATGGGGAGATCCGTGCTACATCGGCCTTACGGGTTTGGAGGTGATCGGCGAGTCTGGGGAGCCGCTGAGGCTGTCGCCGGACTGCATTCGCGTTGTGGGCGAATGCGCAGGGGAGGGAGCGGTGGAAGGGGCAGGTGTTGGGGGCACACCTGGCGGCGTCCACAGGCTGTTGGATGGCGCCAACCGCACTCTGGATGAGGCACACATGTGGCTTGCGCCTGCGGCCAGGCAACCGGAAGATTGCCATGGCGAGCGGCCAATCGTCACTGTTGGCGTTCGCGTGGGTAGGTGCAGAAATGGTTGGGGAACGTTGCGCTTGTGCATTTGGCGCATATCCGCGCACCAGTGATCTCAGATCTGGTTACCAGGGATATAGTTGGGAACTCGTGCCAACATTTTACCCATCTCCTGAAAATTGAGTATTGGAAGCCGCCAGAATGGTTGCGAGGCTTGCAGCTTTCTTGCCGCGTTCCTGTCAATATCCTGGAAACTAATACGGTCAAAAAGTCTTAATTTCAATTGCATTGTCTGGTGCATAGACGCATGTATTGCAATTTTCTATGCTGCAATATTCTGTGCGAAATTTATGGGTCAATATTTCCCACTGGAGTGATCAATATTCAAGATGCCAAAGTGACCAACCCAGAATCTCTATGATTTCATTTTCGATAAAATTTTCATCACACTGTGTGCGTCAATAACTCAAGCAGATTGACGCCAATCCCCCTCAAATCTTCTCTGCATTGGCGGTGACTTCCAGGTGACCGCCCCACCCGGCTGCAGAGCCTGGTGGTCTGGAATTACAACGGGGCCGTGGACGGCACCGACAGCGGCGCCATGCGCGTCCGCCTCTCCCTGGACGGCCAGCGCCTCTCCCCGCCGGGGGGCACCCTCCTACGAAAGGGCCCCGCCACGGACGCCTTCCCCTACGGCCAGGCCATACGCCTCTCAACCCGCCCGCCACATCCAGAGGCCACAGAGAAACAGGTCGCCAACCTTCCCACCCAAACCACACCCATCTGGAAAATCGGAATATGTTGATGCGAAATTAGGCTTCATTGCCATGATGCAATGTCGAGGAGCGCTTCATCAAGTGCCCCTATGTTGACATTCGCAAGCGCTGATGCGCGGGCCTTGCTGCACCATTGTTCCACGTTGCATCAGTGCTACTTTGCACAGAATACTTCACAAGCGCCTGCCATTTTTCAGATGTCTCCAAGGGCCACTGGGGCCCAAGGGGCCAGCCGCTTCCCCCCACCCGCCTCCCCAACTCCCTGCGGAGAGGACCCTCGCACTTCGTCGTGGATGGACAACATGGAGGATCCTCAGGGCGCCCGCGCGGCGCTGAGCGCCGCCCTCGAGCGTCCCCACATCTGCCGGGCGCTCCACCAGGGCTTCGTGACCCCCCTGCTCCCCATGGGATTCACCCTCAAGATCGAGCTCAAGGACTCGTGGGATGACGGCGGGTACGTGGGCCTGTGCGGGCTGGAGGTGTGGGAGGCCGTGGGCGGGAGGTGTGAAATCGATGGGGGTAGATTCTTCGCCGTCCCGCACAGCATTCGGGACCTGCGAGGGATGCAGGTGCGATGTTGGATCGACCTGCTTGCCAGAACTCGAAAGTCGAACTTCAACATGGTGCAAGGCATTCAGGATGCGGCATGGCTGGCTTTGGCGCCGCAGTCATGCCTAGATGTCGCCCTCGGCTGCAGAAGCCCAGCATCCGGATTCCGAAATCCAGGATCTTGCAATTTGTCTTGATTCTGTCCAGTCTCGTTGTCAAGCACAAGCGTTGTCAGCGGCATGCGAGCTTCTCTTCTCTTCTTTTTCAGCATAGGGACTTCCTGGATGCGATGATTTAACAGAACATATGTGACAACCCCAGCGAAAGAAATTGCGTCCTCGCTCGCCTCGCGGCTGCAGGCGGACTGCTTTTCCCTACCACTGGATAGGTGAAGTTGAGGAGATTGGGTGGAATAACCTTGCCGTTGGCTCAACACTGCAGGATGATGCCAGGACACCTGACAAGCTTCTCGACGGCGTCAACGACGGCAGCTCCGCCCACAGCTGGCTGGCGCCTCGCCAGCCCGACGGCCGCCCCAACATAATCTTCATCCCCTTCGACAAGCCCTTCATGCTCTCGCTGCTCAAATTCTGGAACTACCGGCGGACGCCCAACCGGGGGGCGGCCCACGTCGCCATCAGCCTCGATGACGCAATCGTCTACGACGGTCTTCTGGCCCGAGCGCCGCCTCTGGAACCCGTGTCCAGAGATTTCTGCCAGTCGATTATTTTCGACAATAATCCAAAGGTGTTGGAGGCAGAGGGCCCGAATGTGCGCGTGGTGGATGAATCCGACTTCGGGAGAGAGGTGCAGCTGTTCGAACGCTCGGTGCGGGTGGAGTGGCGTGGGGGCGGGGGCAGGGGTGCCTCGGAACAAGGGCGCCCAGCGACGGCTGTGGTGAATGCCGGATACGGGATTTAGCACACGGACTGCGGGGCGGCACGGGCACCGCATGCGTGCACTCAGTCTGAGCACTTCTTTCTTACAAGGGCCAAATCGCGGCGAAACGAAGCCCTTTCACACAAGTATCGCGATCGGTGGCAAAGAAGTTTGTTGCAGCCCTTTATAGTATAACGTATTACAGTCCATTTGCGCATTTCAAGCACTTCTAACGGTGTCCCAAGTTGTGTGCAAAAGTCACACTTTTGTCATTGTTGAATGGCAAAAGATGTGGCCACCATACCCTGGCAAGCACGTTTGAGCGCGTCCACTTGTGCATGCTGCTGGTTAAAAACAGGCGCACAACACCGTCCTAGAAAAAAAATAAAAGTTGAAATGGAAATGAAAAACGGGCGCACAACACCGTCCTAGGAAAAAAATAAAAGATGAAATGGAAATGAAAAACGGGCGCACAACACCGTCCTAGGAAAAAAATAAAAGATGAAACGGAAATGAAAAACGGGCGCACAACACCGTCCTAGAAAAAAAATAAAAGATGAAACGGAAATGAAAAACGGGCGCACAACACCGTCCTAGAAAAAAATAAAAGATGAAACGGAAATGAAAAACGGGCGCACAACACCATCCAAGACTCCTCGCCGCCGCGGCGCACAGAACGCTTGCCTGGGCATTTGTTTTCTGACCATCACCGCGTCGGTGTTCACCCAATATCCGCAGTTTTTTTGGCCTTCAGCGAGTCGAATGCTAGACCCAAAACACCCCCCGGCTTACGCCTGTCTTATGTCCGCGTGCCATGGTTCGCTTCAGTTGCAAGACGCCGCCCGGAAACTGACCTCGCCCGTCACTGAGACCCGCGACAACCGCTCGTGTCTGCCGCGGCTGCCCCAGAGTCCATCGGCTGGGCCGCCATGAAGCGGCTGTTCGGCGCCAAGAAGGACCAGGCCCCGGCCCCAACATTGACGGACGCGAGTGGGAACATCCAAAATCGGGGGGAGACGTGAGTGCATGACGATGAGCACCTGAAACTGCCCGCCTACCGTGGCCTTGCCTAGTGCGCCTTGCGTCCAATGCCCTCTGCGCTGGTGCGATCTCTGCTCGAGGGATCCCGACCAGGCAAACGGTGGAGGTGACATGGGGACCGTGGGGGGCTTGGCCACGGCAAATTGAATCGAAATGAATGGCGATCATGCTGCCGAAGTCTTGCACCGCTGCATCCGAGGTCACCGTCTTCCCCGCGTTGCCGCGGCGTCGCGCGTTGGGCCGGCTAGCGGTGCGCCCTTGGACGGCACGGAGAGCGGTGCGGTGGGACCCATGCCGTGCAGCAGCCGACCTTGTGGGTGTGAGTAACACAGAAGCGCCCAGAAAGCCCAGGACAAGTCGGCCGCCCAGGCCGAGTTTATGAGCGGCGCGTTGCCCACTGGTTTGAATTCCCGTCTTGGCAATGCTTGAAGTCCGCCCGAGCGCTTTGGCTTCGGAATAGAGAAGGAATGGCTCTCCCCAGCCTGAGGGGTGCGTGAACAGGCGAAGGCATTCGGAGATAGCGCATTTGCACTGAATGCGCCTTGGGAGCCCTCAGTTGGATCGCCTGCAGAGGAAAGAAATCCGTGCCAAGGCCTTGCACAAATCCTGTAGGCATAAATACAGCGGGCACATCCAGTACATGGCTGACGACAGCCCGACACAAACCTGTGGAGAGCCCATATGATGATGATCGGCATGGGCTTTTGCCAAGTTTTGGGCAAATGTAAGCACTACAATTGAAGCGAGGGAATGAAGCAACTCGATTTATTGCAACGACTGTGGCCCTTTTTCTGTGGATGATGTGTGGAGATGGAGCTGTGTGACCACGTGAGGCGAGGATTGGTTCACAGTGTGGACAGCGGGGCTAAGTTGAGGCTGTGGCGACCAGGCTTGACGCCAAAATTGCAGCACTGGATGCACAGCTGTTGAAGGCAAAGGATGCGATAAAGAGAACAAGACCGGGGCCCACACAGGAGACTGCGAAAAGAAGAGCTCTTACTGTAAGCAGACCTTGAAGCCAGCCACCCTGCAGTTTGAAAACCTTGAAATATTTTCTGGTAATCTTTGGAACTCATAATGCATTGAATCTGAATCTTCACTTCCATATTCAAGTCGCCGCTTTCCTTCCACAGACTTATTGTAAGGTGCACTGCTGTAGGTGCAAAGCACAGTTGACAGTTGTCGTGTTCAACAGATGTATCAGCACATGCAGTATTGGAGCTTGCGACTCAAGTGGTGAGAATGTCCCTTGCTGCATTGGCTGGTTTGGAAAGTGCAGATTTTTGGGAGACAACGTGAGCCATATCACAAAAGTCAGTGGCATAGCCACAGCTCTTTTGTGCAGCTACGTGGTTTGATGCTTGCACAAGTGTTTAGAGACAATGAAACCTTGTAGTTGCTGCAGCCAGCAACCAGCAGTGTAAAGACTATGACATCATCTGTTTACTGACCAATCTGCACTCCCATTCATTGCATCAAGATTTGTTAAATGTTAACCCCTAACAATAATGTTCATGGTATCTGTTGCACAGCGGAACAGAAAACCTCTTGTGCAGCTTAACGCTTGGGACAATGTGTCATGGAGGATATGAGCTTATCTCCCACTATGACACCCCAAAGAGAATAGCCAATGATGTTCATCTGGTGAACTGATCCTTGGCATCAACATTCCCCCTTGCTTCCATGACCTGCACTCTGCACACGCCCCTAAACATAGTTGTACCTCCCATGGCTGTCTTGGATTGAAAGCTGCTGAATCCACAACTTCATCATAATGATGTTGTACTTTGTCATCTCTTTTAGTAGTTTGGTTTGGGCTTTGGAGTACATTGACTGCTAAACCAGCTGCGATTAAGCAAAGTAGCTGCAGGGCTAACTGAATGCTTTTGTTGAGGATCTGGCACTGATGTTGGCTGTGTAACCTGTTTCAGATCTTGAAACAGAAGCGGCTGTATGAGGGCCAGCGGGACCAGTTGTACCAACAGCAGTACAACATCGACCAGGTCCAGTTTACAACGGAGTCGGTGAAGGACACTGTGTCCACAGTGCAGGCCATGAAGAGCGCCCAGAAGGAGTTGAAGACGGCCATGAAGGCCAAGGAGTTCAACGTTGGCAAGATTGAGAAGATGCAGGATGACATGGCAGACCTCATGGTGAGCCTGGCACACAATGCACTGCACTGAAATCTCCTTGATGTCTGTGGTGCATTGACAGCTATTGGGGTGCCTTTTGGATGTTTGCTTCTGGTGACGTGCGCACTTTACTCTGATGCTGTGGGCGGCAGTGTGTACTTTCAACGAGTGAAGTTGTGCAACCCCACTAGAGTGCCAGCTTCGGAATGTGAGCATTCAGCACTATGGGAGTATTCATATACCCTCAAAACTGCCAATGTACAGGAAATATCCTTCCAAACAAAGCAAGAAAGAGTATGAACAGGTGAAGAAAAAATTCAACGAGGTGGAAAGATGATGCTTTGAAGCGCAAGGACATGTATGAAAGGAAATGAAACGATCGAAGACCAGGCTCTCGATCACTCAACAGCAGACCAAGTGGCACTTTTGTTGCAGCACAAGTCAATTTTGTCACCTGCTGGTTTACTTACTGTCTCTTGATCTGCATCCCAAGGACATGCAAAACGAAGTCAATGAGGCTCTGGGCAGGACATACGATGTGCCAGATGAGGTTGACGAGTCAGATCTGATGGAAGAATTGGATGCTCTTGAGGACGAGCTGGCCCTGGAATCTGACCAGCAGACAGCCGATGCTGTTCCTTCTTACATGCAGGTGAGGGGAGTGGCACAGGTCCCGCACCTCTGCTGGTGGGACAGGGGTGGCGCCTGGACTTCTAAATGTGATGTGACACATTAGAGAAGAAAATTCAAAACGAGCTATGGGTTGACTTGCAGGCTGCACCCTTGACAATTGCTATATCCAAGGGTAGACCATCTTAACCAATGCTGCTTGTTCCTTGAGGCACTTTGTTGGCAGTATTGTTGCTTGTGGGGATGTCATCAGTGCCGATAAGTGACACTGCATTTCAGCCATTAACTATTGACTGAGAGGCATTCCGGTTGTCTGCACAGCCCTTTTGCGCAAATGCCTGAGCTTTTTGTGCTCGCTGCAACAATTGCGTGCACTATCCCCTCAAATGGTGGCGTTGAAATGTCACACTGCTTTGTGGCCAGCACAGTCTGGATCCTTAGCCCTACAACGAAAGACACTGAACTCTGCTGTGAAACGCGCCGGGACACAAGGATGCGCTTGACCTTGACCTCTGCTACAGCCGAACTCTTGTGTATGGATTGGTTGTCCCACTATGCCCACCCTGTATCTGGTAGGCCTCAGAGAAGCTGTTGGTTTTTGCATGGCAACTAAACTCTTGTGTCCAATGGACTGGTGAGATACCGGAGCATGACCAGATACTATTCATGTAGTGCCATGCAGACTGTCAGAACTCACGTGCACCAACACCTCTTGTTTGCCTGCAGGCCAATGAGGGCGCTGCGATGCCAGCAGCGCCCATGAACCTTCCCGTGGCTCCTCAGGCCCAGGCCCAGCCCCAGGACGAGTACGGGCTGCCTGTTCTGCCACAGAGGAACTAGCAGTCTTCCAATTTGCATGCCTTCTACACGGATTACGCCTGGATGGGGTCTGGAAGCACCCACAGCAGATGCCAAGCTCATTGTGCATGTGCCGCTTCGAATGCAAGTACATGCACAGTGCCCTAGCGGCTTGTAGTCACCAGAGCTAGTGTGGGGCGTTTATCTGCTGGGAGCTCCCCAGTGCACTGGACTGGGTGTCATTGCATCAAGATTACACCTGCTGTTCCAGTGAGTTCATGTGGTGGCTGGGTTCCAGCCGATCTTGTGTTGGCATTTTGGACTCCCTTACACCGTAGGTAGCTGGATTGTCCTTTGATGCAGGTTCAATTTCTTTCAAAATAGGTGTTTTGCGACAGATGGGGTTGTGTTGCTTCTGCCTCAAGATGAGCTTGTCATGGTGTCATGTACCACATTGGTACCATAGCGTCCGTGTATCTCGTGAGATACAACTGGTCAGGTGCTGATCGTGAGGGAAGACTTGCGCAAAAGATGGTGGGGGATGGGGGGTGTGGGGTGGAGGTTGGGTGGGCATGGATGGCCGAGGGTGTCCGCCGGTTTTGGTGTGTAAGGACATGGTGGCCTTCACTGCACACGGAAGTCATGAGGCGCATGGGCCGTTGAGTGTTGTGCTGGACGTCGGTCACATCATCAGCTCACCTGCTATCAGTGATGCAGTATGATTTGCATGGCGCCCACAGCATAACCAGCCGAAATGAGCGATCCGCGCAACGCTCCTGGGGAGAGACGAAGCGCCTGCGGAATACGTTATGTGGGTACTTAGGGGGGCCTTCCCAGTGTATCATGCAGATTCGCCTTCTCCATCCTGGCGTGTCACTGCCAAGCAAATGTGGCCCCCTTGATGAGAGGGTTTTTGGTTCGAGATGGGCTTTTTCAAGCAGTCAGTGCACAGCCTTTCTGATGTGACTTTGCTGCCTGTAACTCTGTGGGTGCCCCGTCGCACATCAGTGCTCCAAGCCTCTGTACTTTCGTGATGGACATTTCCGGTCAGCCACTGCACAGTCTGTCAGATGGAAGCACGCACAACTAGTCAGCGCCCCAATCTCGTACTTCACTCCCGCACCATCCCACATCCGACCGAAACGCACTCTCATAGGGCGTTCCCAGCTGGTGTGAAACTAGGTATTCCCTTGCTTCACACCATTAACGTGGGAAGCCAAAAATGTCTGATACCCTTCATTTCCGGTCATGAAGTCACGAAGGTCATGAAAGTCCTTTTTGGTGCAGAGAAGTTTGGGGGTCTTACGTCCCTAGTACCCTTCAAGACCTTCATGTCCGGTAATGATAGGTATTGGACAATCCTCAGGAGCCAAGGGGAGCGCCTGAATAGCCGCGCCGACCCAGGACCTACCGGCGTGCACCCACCAACGGCGCCCTTGCCAGAAACCCATTGGCAGGACAGTTGATTCCATTTGTGTCCGCGCAGTGCACGGCAATGGACGCTGCCCACCGCGAGTGCGCAGATGCACGCATGGGACAGTATATACTGCACACATGCAATGCAAGAGTTCGTCCAGAGGACGAGGGGCCATTGCACGGTTAGCTCAGAACGGCACGCGATCGTTCTGCCTCTAGTACATTGTAATTTCGATGACGTGGCCAAATGCCATTCTGGCAATGCCATCAATGCACGGGAAACGACAGCTACCCAACATGGCGCACAACTTACAATCCCGCGCCTCGCACGGGCTCCCGTCTGCTCAGGGGTCCAGTGAGCTGCGGACGACTGGACAGGCACCGATGGACGTCCGAGTGGAGACAAGTCAGCTGCGGCGGTCCTTGGGGCCCACCGAGAAACCGGCGTCGTAAACACCCAGCTCTCCAGGACGGCAACCTTGGCAGATCGGATCGAAAGATTTGGGTAGGACCGGCCCTCTGGGTTCATGAGCGGCGTGGGTGTCCTGGGCTGGAGGGCCGCGGTGGAGCACAGGGTGGCTGTTGGCGACGGGCCGCCGTGTTTGTTCAGCCGGGCGCGCTGAAAATCCCCAGGGGGACGACTATCCTTAGGTTCTTCAACGCGCTGGTGGACAGCCTGGAGCCGCCAAGGAAGCCGTGGGCGAAAGTGCGTGAGGAAGGAGGGGACCCGGGGGTGTGGGGGTAAGATTTGTTACAAAAGAGAAAGAGAAACTGGTCGTACAAAGGGCACCCCTTCCTAGGCAAGTGTGCCATACACATAATGTGAGGATCTATTCCATGCTGGGAAAAGATGATACATAGCCTCCGAAGCAAAGATGAGCACACCAACATAAGCAAGTCAGAGGCAAGAAAAACATGCACCCGGGCGGGGGGGGAGAAATAGTTCCTCAGCGAGGAAAGCTTGGATTGATGGAAGAGACGGCATTTCGGACGCCCGATGCGCTCGATCCCCAAAGGCCGCACTGGCCACCCGTGCATCCGACATGAATTACTCGCTCTGTCTTTTCACTGAAAACCCCTTGTTGTTTCGCCAGACTAAACCCTAAACCACTGAACCACTGATCCGCGTTGGCTTTGTCAGCGGAAGAAGCATAGATTCTCACCGCAAGGACAGAGGGACTAATGCATTTTCAGTGCGTCCGGCATAGATATTAGTTGAAAGTATTTGATGAGTCGACAGATCGCACTGCGGTAACATGCATTGCAGGAATGATGGATAGGAGGACACATTCGCCGCAAGGCGACTCCGAGAGGAACATCATCGCTGTAGCCCTTTAGAATTGCGTTCTGTTAAAGGAAACGCACCATCATGCGTAGCACGATGGGCATGTCCTCTTCGAAGTAAGCCAGAGAAGCGGCAATAGCTAGGCGATTGGAGGGGTCGCCATCCCACGCGCCGGCGCTCACATGGCCAGGCGACACGGAGTCCAAGGCGTGGTTCACAGCACAGGTTGCTGCGCCCCCAACAGGCTGGGGTGCGCTTAAAATGATCAGCCACGTTCATGCCAATTTCCATTATCTGATACAATGTCCCATTTTCGACCTCTAAGGATTGTCATAATCGCAAATGCCCGTAAGACAATTCAACCCCCATGCCACCTCATCACTACGGTGCAGCCCACATCTGAAACATGCCACAGCTTCCCTTTCACTCAGAATTCAAAACAATACAATTCTGACTACTCAGGTGCCGCATATGGTCATTTCCAAACGCCCCCACTGCAAAGTGCAAGTACAACAAATCTTGCAAGCCAAAATGAAAGTAGAGGGCGGCCACAATGCTGTAAAGCTTCGGGAAACACACATCCGAAACTTCCCCACAACACACCCTTGCATCTTGCGGACAAGACAGTGTCTTAGTGTCATAGAGATGCCTTGGTCATAGTGTCACTATGACCAAGGCATCTCTATGTGAATTGCAGGACATTCTTTCATCAAGCTCATGTTGTCCTCAACAAACATGAGTGTGATCAAAAACTACCTCAAAAGCCAAATTCCAAACCAAGATTCAATCACAGAAATGGCTATTCGGTACTTTCAGATTTCTTTCAATCTCAAGCAGCGATTCACGCTTTGACATGCCCACTAGTCGCAAGCCATCAAGCAGAAGTGATCCACCCAGTGAAACGGTGGTCATTATGCGGCGTCGCGAACAGTTCGACGAAGCACAGTTTTGGGCTCTCATTTGTGGGTGATGATATCTAAGGGCATTTTTATGTCCCGCAGACGCTGATTTGATCATTTTGTGGCTGATGATATCTAAGGATATATGCCCCTAAAAATGTATTTTTATGTCCCGCAGCCGTTGATTTGAGCTGCTCGCCACCCGTGTGGTCAGAGACTGCTGCATGTTAGAAGTGCAGAGCCTGAAGTGATGGCTGTTGCAGAAATGCGTTCTGCGGCAATGCCCATGCCCCTGTGGCTTTTGTGACAGGGTCGGGCCGAGGGTGATGGTATCAAATTCGACTGCGGCCTGGGGGCGTCGCTCAAGAGGACGCTGGGGATTCCAGAAGATGGCAATGCACATCCTTTGCCGCCATACCTGGGGGCGTTCCCACTGTAAAAAGTCCATGACCATCGAGAGAGTGTTTCCAATGTCTGAGTGAAGAGAGGAAGGTTGTTTGTTCCTATGTACCAGAGGGAGGCCATGTGGATTCAATTTCATGCGAATGCTCATCAGGATGCTGCGGTGAAGGTGGGACTTGAATGTTGTAGCGAGCGATAGACCTGAAATGGTGAACTGCTGCATGGTGCCAGTACTGGCAATTCAAATTACTAGTAATTTGCACAGGTGCTACTGTGCGACTCAAATGCGCTACAGCCGATGCTATCAGAAAGAGTCTTTGACCTACTGCTAGATTCAAAATTCATTGAGAGGGCTCCTGACATTTTCATCGCAAAAATATTGTGAAACAGACGGTTTAAAAGTAATTTAGCTTAACCAATTTCTTTTAAGTATTGTGGTTTCAGTGCCCCGACATGTGCACTGAGCACCTTCATTGCATGTGCAATATTCCGCTTACTGCAGAATACTCAATTCTTCTACATTTGTAAACTGCAGCGTTACTATTTTTGCTCCGCATTTTTCCGACAGGGCACTGATTGGGGTTCTCTGCATCACGTCCACAGCCAGAATGGCGATTCTGCTCGCATTTCGCTTGTCCTCGAATGCTGGTTTTTCACCACAACGACTTATGCATGTGGGGCCGCTGGATGCAACGAGCAGGCCGGGGACCCTCGCGTTGCGGCTGGGGCTGCTCCACATTTCTTGGCGCCTTTCTGCTTTTGTTGTTGCTCCGCATAAAATGGCCAAGCGTTACGTTGCAAAGCACAAGGGCATAATATACTACAGTCCTTGTTGCTTCACTGCTGCCTGCGAATATAACATGCTCTTCAACATTCAACAGCAGCTTTGACAATATGCGAGTGGGTTTCTTCAGAACATTGCTCACAACTTGGATCCCCGGTCATGCTCTATTTACATTTGCCTGGCTTGCCTCTCAATCTTGTACACAATGGCCCCCTTGAGATTCTCATGGATGCCAAAGCTGGGTGTTGTAAATGTC